GTATTTTTTCAAACACAGACCCTTGACGTTAAAAAAGATTTGAGATAGAGACACAAGAAATGCACAGGGGACACCTAAAAAAAATCCTTAGCAGAAGGACTACATGCAGTATAGGAACATACTGTACACACAAAAAAGAATAATAAACGTCTTTTAAACTTAGCAAGAACTCAAGAGAGTTTGACAAAGAAAAAGAGCTTTGACTTAGAAACTATACCAAGGTTTTGGTCAGAAGCATATTAAGCAAAATATTGCCCTTTTAAGCAAAATAATATAATTTTGATCTATTGATCATCCTTGACTTACCACGTCAGATGACTGACTGTTGCACAAGCACTAAATCATCTCATTAGTGATTATATAGAGTACAGGTAAATAATAAGCTTCTTGCAAGAGCTTTGAAAGTCAAATATTAAGGTTGGTTTAACATAAAAGTTTAGTCTTGGAACTAGTTTTTGACATTTATTATTAATTTATGCTACAAAGTAAACCTTTATACCTGTCACATTTAATATTCAATTAAACAGGAGTGCCATTATTCTGCCTTTCAAACTGAATTGTGCAGTCTGAAAGTCTGCAGGCCATTTTTAATTTTAAGTGAAGGAAACATACAGATGTTCTCCAAAACTGAGTTACGTATAGTTGTGTATGGAATACACAAAAGCATTGGAACAATAAGGGATAGAATAGATTTTTTTCTCCATGTTGTTGTTATTAATAATACATATTGTATTATTAATAGAGCAAATTCAGTTCCCTTGAGTCAACTAAACTCTTAAAATGAACAATTATGTGAAATGATTATTGCTGAACCTCTATTTTGAAGGAGCAAAAGTATAATGAGAATCAGCTGACAAGTCTTTGTTGTTGGTCATGAGTTAGTTGTTGAGTAAACAGGCTCTGATAAAAGAACATTGCACATACTGTACCATCAACCAAGCTTGCTTTTATTTCAGTGTTCAGAGTCTGTAGTCAAGGGTTAATGTTTTACTTATGTTCCTGAATGGAAAATGCCACTATACTCAGTACTACAGTAATAATGTTTTGCTAGTACTATACAAACTGCATAAATTAAAGTATCACCCCCTGATCTAAGACATTTTTAAATCTTCTCATTCAGCAGTATACTATAATACAACTGCTTCTACAACTAGATTGTTGGGGCCAATAAC